TCACATTCCATGTCCCAATCACCAGTGTCTGCTTACAACTGTTCCTCTTCCTTTGTATTTCCATGCTTGAAAACTCAACCTCCTTTGCCATCTGTGTTATCTAAATGTGTTCTGTTGTACATAGGGTTTTCAGAGGCCTGCTATTTCAGCAGCAGGCCTTGAGGGTAGAAAGAGAAATAGGACAAAGGACATGAGAACTGGATCGGTAAGAAACTCCTAGGATTGCCAGATCAGAGGTGAACAGAAGCGAGTGCTCTTCAATTGAACAAAGTCTGAGGGCACCAGCAGTGGTGCCAAGACACTTTGTGTAGGAGGGAGCATCATGGGTGCAAACTGAAAGAAAGGCAGGAGTTTGGCAACATAAAAGGAAGAAACAACATGTCAGGACAAACAGAAGAGAAGAGGAAAAACTTCCCAAAGGACCTACCTTACCTGTTTAGAACCAGGAACTCCTAGGCACCTTGGCAATGGCCAGTGTTAAGAAGGCCACAGAGTGTGGGATCCTAATACCAAGTCAAGGGCTTGGGGCTTGATCCCACTGGTCATGAAAACGGCTTTGTGCTTCTTTAGTTGGCACAGGATAGAGAAGATTACAGGACTATTGTCCTTAGGGTCACTATGAGTCACAAGCAACTCCACGGCACATAACAACAACACAACAAAACTGAGAATCAAAGCAGACCCTTACATTTTTAGTTGGAGAGATCAGGAGGGGAAAAAAAGATGCCAACATCTTCAGGTCCCCTCCAGTCACCCCAACATCCCCAGGACCCTCACATCCAGCAGGCGAGTGTCCAGTGCTCCTCCCGCTTCTCCAGCTTTTCTTAAGCCATCACTTCTGAGGGCCCTTCCTTCCCTTTCAGCTTCTCACCACCTTCCTCTGCTCACTACATCCTGTCTCTTCTCTTCATAGAAGATCGGAAGCCCACGATCTCTCCTTCTTCACTGTCTTGATCACTGTCGGTAGCCCCGCTGGAATGTGACTCCTCCCTCATTGTAAAATCCATGCTACAAATTTTAAGCTTAATTTCCTTTATCTACAATGATGTTAAATAGAAAATAAAATTTTCAAATAACAAATCGAGACAGACTATTAAAAAAAAAAGGTAAAATGACTTTTAGTGCTTTTAATGACACTTTCTTCCAGCTTTTTCAACAAAGGGCCCAAATTTCCATTCTGCCCTGGGCCCCAAAGATTATAGAGGCAGCCCTGCCCGAAATCCCATACCCATTAGATTTAAGAAACATAATCACTCACTCTCTCACCAAGTAAAGGTGTTAACAGCACAGATGTCTTTTAAAACAGTTATCAAATTTCACCGAGGCAAGGCTTTCTTAAACTTCAATGGACACCAGTCACTGGAAGGCTTGTTACAACACAGGTTACTGAGCTCATGCCCACGGTGTCTGATTCAGGTCGAGGGTGGGATCTGAGAACCTGCATTTCTTCTAACTCTTTCCCCAGGTGATCTGCACCATGCTGAGGGCCATTGTTGTTGTTGTTATGTGCCCTTGAGTCTCCTGTAACTAATACAATCCTATGTATAATAGCTCTGAAGCTTGTCCTGTCCTGAGTCTCACTTACTTCAACACACCTACCCCATTGCCCCAGTTACTGTTTCCATGTGAGATGAAGTCTCATCATTCCTGCCTCCAAAGAGCCCTCCAGCTGCACCCTCTCCAAGACATATCTGTTGGTTCTTTTGGCCATTTGTGGGATGTTCAGTGTGCTGCATTAATAGCTATGTGGAAACTGTATACTTTCAATAATCTTTCTCTTTGTCATTTCATCAGAACTGACCCAGAGCTGATCCTCTAGTAGGGTTGTCAGAGGCGTAAAGGGCACAGGAGATGATTGCCTATCTTTCGCCCTAGGAGCTGCTGGTGGATTTGAACCAGCACAGTCAAGGTCTTTGAGTTAGCAGCCTAACTCCTTCTGATAGTTCAGAGCAGTGACACCAAAAACTATTTCTTAAAGGCATGTTCTCTTACCTCATAAATGTTAAACTGCTCCACTAAGTCCAGGTCAGTGCCTTTCTTGTTCAAGTGCCTCTGGGACACAGCCGCGAGCCCCAGTTCCTCCAGACAGTCTACCACGTCGTAGAAGGTGTCTTGATCTGGCAGTCCTGACAGTGTCTGGAAGAAGAGAAGGACAGACAGGGCTTAGTGGACTGTCATATGGTTCTCAACATCTTTTTTTTTTGTTACATAGTAGCCAGTGGCCACAATTATAACATGGAACAAAACAAAATAAACGACAAGTTCACATTAAAGAAAACTTAAAAACAAACTTTAGTGTGATTGTTGTTGTTAGGTCAGATCTAAACTTTGTCCTCTGCTTTGCCAACTTCACAGTCTCCAATATGCTCAAGGCCATTGATGTGGTCACTGTGTTGATCCATTTTGCTGAGAATCTTCCTCTCTCTCTTTGACCCTTCACCTTTGCCAGAACAATGTCTGTTTCCAAGAGCCCTTTTGACAACATGACCAAAGTTCGTGAGACTTGACTCTAAGGGGCAACACGGCTGTACTTGTTCCAAGTTAGACGCAGTTGTTCTTTTGGCAGTCCATGGGGTATCAACATTCTTTTCACCACCACAATCTAAAGGCATCAATTCTCCTTCCCATGTGTTGGTGTGATGGACACAGTGAACCCCAAGACTCCTGTCCCTGACATAAAGAAACTATATGGGCTGGATATGCCCCTAGGTGGAAGCTATTCCTATGATTACCCTGATTTCCATGGAAAAAGCGAGAAATTTTGTAGATGTAGTTAATGTCCCAAATTAGTTAACTATGATTTGGGGTTATTCAAAGGGGAGATTACCTCGGGTGGGCCTGACCTAATCAGATGAGGCATTTGGCTGAGGCCTCCATGAGCTCAGAGATTCACAGGAAGAGAGATTCTTCCACTGGTCTTGAAGAAGCAAGCTGCTATGAGTTCTACATCTACAAGGAAATGAATTCTTCCAAACCATGTATACTTGGAAGGCACCCCCAAGCCTCAGATGGGACCACATACCCACTTAAAACCTTGATTGGAGCCTTATGAGACAGTGGGCAGAGAACTTAGCTTCGCCTGGACTCCTGACCCATGGAAACTGTGAGATAATAAATATGTGTGGTTTGAAGTGGCTGAGTCTGTGGTAATTTATTATGTGGCAAAAGGAAACGAATACACATTGTGATATTCCCTTGTTATAAACCTCATTAAGTTCAACAGCTGGACTCAAGGATTAATTTCCTCCTATTTCCGTTCAGGAGAGCCTCTTTTTTTTTTGGCCTCAGAATTTTGGAGAAACAAGGGAAATCTGAAAGTAGCAACCAAAATACAAAAAGATAACCTAAAAAAGGGAGCGGTGGCAGAGAATGGGAAAAGCTAACTTCTCTTGAATTCTGTCTCTCTTAAAAGTGGGTGGTACTCTCAGAGCAGACCCCTGTTCAGAACTAGATCAGAAGCTACAAGGCCCCTCAAGGTGATTAGGTAAAATCTTCCTCATAGGGAAAAAGAAGACTTAGTGGAGCAATGGGTAAAAGGTGTGCTGTGAGCTGACAGTTAGCAGTCTGAACCCATCAGTCATTCTGTAGCAATAAGGAAGCACTGATCTATTACTGTAGAGATTCCAGCCTAGGAAACCAGTGGGACAGTTCTAGTCTGTTCTGCAAAGTCACCATACAACATCATCAGAAAGAATGTCCTTACTTGAGTAACTAACACCTTTCCCCTTGCCTGTCTCAGCAAAGGATGCATAGCTCACTGCTACTGACTTCAAAATTCATGAAAAATAACCAGGAGGTAAGTACCCATTGCTCATCTAAACAGAGGCCCAAACGGGGCACAGAACAAGAGGATCAGTTGTTGTAATGTGATGTGGTTCCTTGGAGACTACGACTCACAGCGACCTTATGAACAATAACTGAACCGTGCCCAATCTGGAGACAATCTCACTGTCTCTGCCACCCCCCTGCCTCCAATAACAGTCATTCTGTCAAAGTGTTCACACCAAGTAGTCCAGTATGCAAACTTACAACAGTGTATACAGATAGGTGTCAGGTGAAGTTGCCTGCCTCCATGGTGCTACCAATGTTGTTGTTGTTATGTGCCGTCGAGTCGTAGATGCCTCATAGCGACCCTATGAACAAAAGGCCTGAGCACTGTTTGTACATAGAGTTTCCAGATGCAAGCCATTTCGGAAGTGGATGCCGCTCCTCCTTCCAGGCTTGTTTTTAACTGGTAAGTTCCAGCAAACACTGTCCGCCATGGGTAACCATTATCACATTTGGCATATCAGTGTCACAGTGTTCAGCATCACAGCAACCATGAGTTATCTCTGTACAGCAATGCACAGACCAGTGCTATATCACCTTGGACCAATACTAATTTAAAAAATCACATGTCCTAATAAGAACTCTGTTTGGCGAAGTCTGTAGTGTGTGGATTGCTAAGCTATTTTTGCATTTACCATGACTGAAAGACAGGGAGCCTCCCCCTGCTAAGACTTCTAACCCTGGAAATGGGATCACAGGTTGTTATGAGTTGTAATGGACTTGATGGCAGTGAGTTCGCTTTGATTTTGAGGAGGTAACTAAAATAGTCTTCTCATTTGGTTCTGCTGACACCCCTTGGGGTTGTTGTGTGCCGGGGAGCTAGAACCAGCTCAGACAGACCCTCCAGCGGGTTTTCAGAGGCAGCAAATCACACAGAAGGAGACACCCACCCTTCTCCCACGAAGAAGCTGGTGGATTCAAACCACTTGCCATTAGGATTGCAGAGCAGCTTCTTAGCACTAAGTCATCAGAGCTCCCTTACTGAAACCCCTAGAACTTATTAAAAGATGAGCAGTTAGAGAGACATTATGTTGTTGTTGTTGTTATGTGGCGTCGAGTCGTTTGGAGAGATATTTTGCAAAACACCCCATCGGAGGAAGTCAGGTGAGCTGACAAACTTCCACACAATTTGTGCGATTAAAGAGTGGAGCACACAGAGGGTTCTGGAAGTATCCTCACCTCTCTGTTCCCTTCCCTTCTGTCCCACTCACTTCTTCTCTTTCCCCATGCTGAGAAACAAGTGAGGTCCCCTGGGCTTTCTGGGGGGTTAAACCCCACAGTTCTAATTCTCTTGCCTTCGTTCACGGGGATGGTGCAGGACTTGGCAGAGTTTCCTCTGTTGTGCACGGGGTTGCCATGACTCAGGGGTGACTCAACAGCTTCTAACAACAATTCCTATTGCCATAGCAAGACCAACCGTAATTGGAGGATCTCTATTAAATAATCAAATAATTAGGGCTATTCAAACAAACAGACCCAGGATGTCCTTGCATGCAGGAGGAGGTCAGGAACAGAGGATTTTAAGAGGTCACTGGTCAGTTCCTTGGAGACAAGCTGAGCTTACATCATCGCTTTTTATGCAAGGCCGCAAGAGGAAGGCTTTATGCCAACAATATAAAAGGTCCAATACATCGTCTTTCTCCTCTTCGGCAGAGAGGGCGCTACACACCCTAGAAACACACACTCATTTTGGCTGATTTTGCAGCTCAGCAAATTCTACCTTGCATCCTCCTCCCCTTGGGCCCTGACCTCCTGCATCCACTCCACTCCTCCTACTGCTAAGTTGTTTAGTTTTGTTAAAGGTGGCTGCCAGGCAGGAAATCCTTTATGGCTAATGTCTTCTAAAACCTTCACCCTCAGATGTCGGAGCGTGGCTGTATGGCATCCGGCAATCTCTTCCCTTCATAGTCTGCCAGACTTTGCTTGCCAGGCCCCAGAACAAGTAAATATTTACAGACATCGCTCATAGGACATCTTCCCCCCCACACACACCTCTGGGTCTTCACAGATTTCATCCAATCAAATTCGAGGGTCAAACCAGTGGAGCAGAAACCTGGTCAGTATGTTCAAAGAAGTGTTATTTGTGCAATGATGCAAAACGCAAAAATATCTTTCAACAGGATAGATGAACCAACCTCACTGGGTGTCTACAAGGAAATAGCAAACCATGGGGGTTTCTCATATCCATATATATGTTAAAATACATCTATAGTCATATCTCAGTATCCACCCACAATTGGCTCCAGGACCCCCACAAACCTGCACATCCCCTGTGGATACTTAGGCATGACTGGAGAAGCATTAGAACACATATATAGGTGGGAGAAACCTCCATTGTGTAGTGTTTCTTTGTAAAAACACCAAACCTGCAGCTACTCAAGTCCCTCATATATAATGGCATGTTGTTGTTGTTAGGAGCCATCAAGTCAGGTACAACTCATTACAAACAACAGATCTGAACCCTGTCCTGCCTTGTGCCATCCTCACACTCTCTGGCACACTCAAGCCCATTTCTGCTGTCACTGTGTCAATCTGCTGGTTGAGGGTCTTCTCCTTTGCCACTCCTCCACCTTTCCAAGCATGATGTCCCTCTCCAAGGAACAGCCTTTCCTCACAACATGCCCAAAGTATGTGAGACGGAGCTTCACCATCCTTGCCTCCAAGGAGCACTCTGGCTGCACTTTCTCCAAGACATATTTGTTTGTTCTATTTGCAAATAACCTACACACATCCTGCCATACACTCTTGGACATCTCTAGATTCCTTGTAAAATCTAATACAATATCACCAGATACGACTGGATAGTAAAGTCCAAGGCAACGACGAGATACTGGAGGGACTGAGGGCTGAAATCCCAAAGTGAGCCTTAGTCTCCTATCTCAATATGATGACTGTACAGGAGTAGAAGAAAGGGCCTTCCTTCAGAGGTGACAGAGAAAAAATTGTCACCATGAATTCAGACTTTTAGCCTCTTCAAATATAAGAGAGTAAATGCTTGTGTGTCAAAGCCACCCAGTTGTGCTATTTCTATAAGAGCTTAAGATAACTAAGATACAATGCTACTTTGTAGATTAGTTTCCTTAAAATCTGGTCTGAGGTGAAATCAGTTCTAATCAGTTCCTGGGGTATGGTCAGAACCAAGAGCTTACTTTCCTAAGCAGGAAGTCAAGTTCTCTACCTGACAGAGGAGTTAGAATAGAGGAACTTCTCCACAGTACATCAGCACTATCTCATTACAAGGGATGCATGCCTCTTGGCCGAGAAGCCTCTGCAACCACCTCCACCTTGGAGAATCCACTGCTTGTGCATTAATTATCACAACCCCTCCTACACAGGCCAGTTTCAAATCCTCCCACTTCTCTTATGAATAAGCATAAAATTCCTTCCCACTTAAATACTTCAAAACCCCCAAAATTATTTTAGTCAGTGACAGTGTGGTCAAGTGTAGCTCTGGCTTCCCCATGTCCTTCCTATTTTCCTTGATAAACCTCTTATAAAAACCTGAACTCTGTTTTGCTTTTATTACTTAGCAAGGTGAGGAACTTAAATGTATGGAGTATACCAGCAACATGTCTCAGTGGCTACACCGAAGGGGGACTCCAGCAACAATCTGACTTTGCCTCTTTCTTCTTCCATCCCTAGCTTTTAGATGTCATAAGAGATTAATTGAAGCTACGCACTACACTAATCCAGTCTCATTAACATAGCAGAGACAACCCACTCCCAAATGGGATTATAACCACAGGCATAACATGAGGATTTAGAACACATATTTTGGGTGACAATCCCTAGCACTTTAATTTGAATTCCATGTTATTAAGCTATCTTTCATTTTGTTGAAAGAAAAAGTTAGAAACCACTCAATTCACAACATAATAATTTTCCAGATTTAAGAGTCTGAATTTTTCCAGACCCACATTAACACTGTGATTTTGTTTGGTATCTCTGAGACTTATACTGCCTGAGCCAACAAATGGTATTAAAAGTTGTTGTTGTTGTTGTTGTTATGTGCCATCGAGTCGTTTCCGACTCATAGCGACCCCATGCACAACAGCTCTAAACCCTGCCCTATCCTGTGCCAACCGCACCGCCTCCGACACACCCATCCCGATTACCCCAGTCACCGAATCAATCCATCTCATAGAGGGTCTTCCCCTCCTGCGCTGTCCCTCCACCCTCCCAAGCATGATGTCCCTCTCCAAGGACCTGTCCCTCCTGGCAACATGTCCAAAGTATGTCAGACGAAGCCCCAGAATCCTTGCCTCCAAGGAGCAGCTTGGTTTAATCCTCTCCAAGATGGATCCGTTTGTTTTCCTGGCAGTCCAGTCAACAAAACAAAATCAATGTAGGTGTCAAGAGTCTGTTGATCTTACTGAGCAAAGCAAAGGATTTCATCTGGAGTAGTGCATAAACCTTCCTGAGCTTCCCCTGGGCTGGAATGAATAGAAGTTGAGCTGCCAGAAGAAAAAGAGTAAAGGAAGAATTGCTGCACTTTAATGGTCAGATGGTGCCAAGAAAAGAGGGAAGCATCCTGGGGCTTCGCATAGCGAGTTCATAGTGGGTGCTGCGACGCTTTTCACAGTATGACGTGGTCGCTACCAACAAACTCTTACAACAGATAACCCCGTGCAGGAGTCCCAAAATTCCACGTGCTGAGTTCAGAGTTTCCCAAAACAATAACGGGAAATAGATGATTTCAATCATCACCAGTTTTTCCTCCCTGAGTCTAAGAGAGGTGTCAAGGAGTTATGCTTCTAAATCATGCTAAAATACTTTTTACAGTATAGCAAACCAACCAAAAATCTATAAATAAAAACAAAACAGAAACTGCTTAAAAATACACAGGCAAATGAATTCAACAACAGATCTGAACATAAAATTTGAGTTCTTAGGCTTATCCTTCAGAAAAGTTGCACCCGTTTCCTACCAGGAACACGGAAAAGTGTCTTGTGTTCTCAGCAACAGTTGTTTTTGAAATAAGTATCTCAGTAATATATGGCAAGGATTGCTAGTGGGCTATCAAACATCTACTGTCAGTTTTTTGTTCTTTCTCAAAAAAAACCCATACTTTTAGGCAACAAAGGGAGTATGTTTATGGAAATGAAAGACTTCTGTATCTTGATGGTAGTGGTTACATAAATCTACATGTAATAAAATCATTTTATATACACTTTAGAGCAATGCCAATTTCCTGGTTTTAGTATATTATAAATATGGAAGATGTAACAACTGAGATAAACCGATGAAGGGCATATGGGACCTCACTGCATCTTTGCAACTACCTGTGAATCTGAAATTATTTTAAAAAGAAAATAATTCATTCCCTCTTCACGTCAAAAAGCAATCACTGTCAACAGGACTTGGGAATATGTCTTGTTACTTTGGCTGATGGCTGTCGAGTTGAGCACGACTCATGGCAACCCTATGAGCAAAAGGCCTGAAGCATCTCTATAACTCTCATCATTTCTCAAAGTTCATAGTTTCCAGAGGCATGATGCTTAGAAAGTAGATGGCATTCCTGATTCCATTCATTCATTCACTCATACACACACACATATCTCTATATCTATATCATCTATATCTATATCTGCATCTGTATCATCTATATCTATATCATCTATATCTGTATCATCTATCTCTATCTCTATCTATATCATCTATATGTATACATAAATAGTTTCTACTGGGTTAATATATTTATGGTATTATTTTCTGCCACACTTTACAGTTTGTCATTTCAACTTTTACTATGATTCTATTTTACAAATAAGACTTTCTTCAATATTATATAACCAAAAATTTAAGTTCCTCCCATTGGTACCTTTCTCACTTATATTACAATTTCTTCCACAAACTAGAGGACAATTAATCTCCACCTCTAGTTTCTTTTCATTATTTGAACACTTTACATGCTTCACATGAAGCAAGAGTGGCATCTACTTCCTAAACAACGTGCCTCTGGAAACTCTATGAACTTTTAGAAATGACAATATTTATAGAAAAGTTTCAGGTCTTTTGCTCATAGGGTCGCTGTGAGTCGTGCTTGACTCAATGGCAATCAACAATAATATTTATATGTATTAATGTATATGGTACACATCTTTTTTTTTCAACCTGCACATCATCTTCTTCAGACTTTGTGCATTTTTTTGTGTGTGTTATGTATACAGGTGCGTCCTCTATATACATGCATGCTTTGTGAAAAAGAGAGTACATAGTCAAAATACATTTTTGCTCCCTCTTCCCCAATCTAGCAAAATATCCCCTAATCATAAATGAAGAAAACACATCCCCAAAGATTTTGCTCACATGGCAAGTTGTTCCACACACAGGGGTCAGTTCCTTTGTTCTAATCATAAATGAGCTAAGCTCCTATTTCTTTACAGTGTATGTAGCATTATAATATCTACTTGGAGAAGTTGTAGTTGTTGTTGATTGCCTTCGAGTCGAGCAAGACTCATAATAACCCTATGAACAAAATGCCCGAAGCCCCTCTGTAACTCTTGACATTCATCAAAGATCATAGAGTTTCTGGAGGCATGTTACTCAGGAAGTGGAGAAGTTACTCTCTATAATTATGTTGCTTCCAAAGAGGGAAACATGCCCCCAGTTATCTTTCAAGGAGAGAGTATGAGTCTGCTCTGAACAATTAACAGGATTTCAATTGATCCCACAGACCTGCTCCCAGCAGAGTCCAAATGGGAAGTCCACGGCATCTTTGATCTGGTACCTGGGTCCAAGGTATAAGGTCAGCAGGACAAGTTCCCTCCAGTAAGAACAAGGAACCCAGGCACTAAATGCAATGTACTTCTGTCTAGATACCAGGGCTGTCTCAGGTCAGTGTGGGACCCACTGCCACTTAGCAGCATCTCAGAGGGCAGGAGCTCAGGTTTACTGACTGGTCGAGCAGGAAGGGATGGAATAGAAGGAACAGGGGAAGAGAGGTGTGGTCGCCACCATAAAAGGAGCTGAAACCCACCCACAGGAATTGAGAACTATTGTTTCCTTAGAGTAAAATGTGCTAACTTATATTCATAAAGAAAATGTTCTCAACAGGCCATCATGACTGGAAAAGTAGTCACGAGGCTCTTTTTCATCACACTCCTGGCTTCCCTTCATAGGGTCACTATGAATCACACTCGACTCAGCAGCACCTAACACCACCACACCTGGTTTCCTAGAAAAGATTTCATGTGTATGTGTGCACATCTGGGTGTGGGTGTGTTCTCTCTTCTGTGAGGGCACGTGCTGCAGGCATGGCTTTAGTCACCAGGATACGAGTCTACATGCTTAGTCTGTATCTAGAGGGACAATTTTAGCCTTAACACCAACCAACCTTGTTCACTAAAGTCATGGCGTAAACCAGCAACTCGGTGTCGACTCCATCTTTTTCCTCCAGGATTTCCATTATATTTGACCAAGGTTTGACTCCTGAAATTCAAGCAAGAAAACCATTAGAAATGGCAATGCAACAGTCCAATTCTCATCACACATTATCCAAGGACTTATGACTCAGAGATAGTAGTATCTTTCCAATACCAAATCCCAAAGTGGGTCACTATCCTTACGGTGGACTTCAGCATGCTTCTAAAGAAGAGTATTTCATATAATAGGTAACTCCAATAGGCTCAGGTGTGTCAGAGTCGATGAGGATGGCGCAGGATAGGACAGAGGTAGGATCTGTCATATTCAACTTGATGGCACCTAACCTAGAGGTGCTGTGAGTTGTATTCAACTTGACCTAACAACATACCAAGTCAAATTTATTTTGAAAATGTATGTTCTCCACTTGCTGGAAACTTTTCATTTATATTAAACTTAACATTTTGTTTAAATTTTATTGTGTGTGTGTGTGTGTGTGTGTGTGTGTGTGTGTGTACTATAAAAAACTCGCTGGAATACAACTTCCCTGTGCACATGGGTGGTTGTCACGAGTTAGAAGAGCTTCAATGACAATAATAACAGGAATAATGGGTCTCATAAAGGCTGCCCTCGAGAGGTTTCTAATCTAGTGAAGCAGTAAGGCATAAGCACAAGATCACGTATCAGCACAGAGCAAACGATGTGAAGTGGCAGAAGCACTGAGGTAGGTCTGCCCGTTAGCAAGGCAAGCCACTTGAGACATTAATGAGAGATGGTGATGACGCTTGGTGCAAGAGGTGGCCCCAGTGAGTACTGCAGGGGAAGGCTCAGCAGTGATGTTTTATGCAGCAGAAATTAAAGTCCTCTCCTCAGGATTGAGTAAGGCTCAGAGCCATGTTCACAGGGTCGCTATGAGTCTTATTCAACTCAGTGGCACTTAACAACTACCACCACTTCCAGAATCTTTTTTTATTTTATGATTAGGATAACTTTTACCGACCAGGCTCCAGGAGAGGGCAGGAAGCCACTTCTCACTCCGGAACACTCAGCCAAGGCCATGTTTACAAAGGAGGCATTGATGTCTTTGTACATTTTTGTGTGACTATGATTAATCTCTGAAGCATAGCATTGCCTTGCCCTTGGTTTGGTGACATGAGACATGAAGCAATTTCCTGCTATCTCAACAAGATGTTTGTATTTGATAAGATTAAATTCTGGGGGAAAAAAACAATGAAACCACACACACACACACACATAAAAAAACAAACCCACAACCTGAAATAACAGAAGGCCACGGGTTTCCAAATACTGGTTCCTTGGACTATATATACCAGAGCTGATCTTCTCATCTCCAGAGAGAGATGAGAAACCCAAAGGGCAGAGATTTGTTTTGTTTTAATGCCTTTAGTATGATTCTGGCATGCAGTAGGTGCTCAATAAGTATCTGCTGGTTGTTGTTATATCCAGACCTAACTCGTAGCTGACCCTCCAGCATGATCCACAACCTGCTTATTGTTGTTGTTGTGTACTGTCAAATCAGAATCAAGGTGCTTATTTATCTACTTGCTAATATTTATCTGCAAACTTGTTTCAAATCCACATCACCCGGAAGTGTTTTTAGAACTCCATAAGAGCAATCATCTCTGTCCTGTCTGGCCAGTTGTTCTCAGACCTCCCTGTCCAGAGCAGCTCCAGAGATCCACGCATGTCTCAGCTGTGTTTATACAGGGCAACTTCTACCATTCACATGCATTCTTGTGGATTACCCACAGGTGGTTAAAAGAAAACCAGAGGAGAGAAGGCATTGAAGCAAAGACTTTTTAGTGGTGCTAGTGGGCTCAGGGCTGCTTCCTGGTTGCTTATGTTGGAGCCAAAGATACCCAACAGGACTCAGAGAAGGGCAGGCCAAGAAGCAGAGGCAGCATCCCAGAGAGAAGCAGCAGCTGCTTCCCTGCACCTCATACATACAGTTCATCATTTAAAGTAAAAGCAATCAGACATCAGTTTAATTTCATTGAGAAATGTATCCTTCAACTGTTAATTCTGATTCCCTAACTATGATTTAAGGATTTCTAAGTCTGGAAATTTAATACTCGTACACCACTAGGAGGGATGTTCATCCACTTTCAACTGTTTTCAGATCAGAAACTATTTAAAGGAATGAAGGGGAAGAGGAAGAATCATTTGATTCAACCACACTAGCTTGGGCAGGACTCGAGGCTGTGAGGAGCCAGTACTCTCAGCCTTCCCAGAGGACGCCTCCTGTAGGAAAAATGACCCAGATAACAGCATATTCCTTTAATCTGATTCACACAGTGCATGCATATGTCTCAATGTTATGTGTTTGTGTAACTTCTTATTGTGATTTGAGTAAAAGTCTACAAAGCGCATTGGTTTTCCCATTCAACCATTTATATACATCTTGTTGTATAACATTAATTGCAGTTCCCCTCATTGCAATAACACTCATCCAGCTTCTGTCTTGTAATTCTTATTTCCCTTTACCCATCTACCTTACTCCTTCCTGCCTTGTGGACTTGACTCTTCTAGGGAGTAAACACCTCTCTGGTATCACTGTTGACCTTATACAAGGTCTGTCTACTGTTTGGCTGAACACTGAGTCATGGGTAGGTTTCATTCTAAGCTTAAATGGTGACTAAGAACCCAACTCTTGTGGGCTCCTCTAGTCTCTAGTAGATCAGCTACCCTGGCCACTGTTAGCATTTCAAGATTTTTTTTCCTACTCTCCTTCCCATTCTCAGTGTAGGGCTCTGTGCTGTGACCCCTTTCAGAGCAGACAACAGTGGAAGGTGGGATCCATCTAGTTCTTCTGGTTCCAGGGCCACGTAGGTTGAGGTTCGCATGATACATTAGGCCTAAATGTTTCTACGCATCATTTACTTTCTTCACTCTTCTTTATTATGGAGAAACCAATAGCTATACCTTCTATGGTGCTTACACTCTTTTTTTAAAAAAAAATTTATAGTTTATTTACAAAATTAAAATACATTGTTTTCAAGAACAGATTCTTTTCATTTCCCTCATCCTCCCACCCATCAAATTGTATAACCCTATGATTAATTCCCCGTCCCCCTGCACATCCACATCTCTCTGCTTCCACCCTCTCTCACCCCTTCTCGGATCCTTATACTCATTCCACAATAATGGTTTTATACAATATTTATCCTTGTGGGACTGAGTTAGTTCACTCAGCATAATGCTCTTCAGTCCCTCCCAAGTTAGGTGATAAATTTACAAACTCATTGCTCCTGTGTGTTGCATAGTATCTCATTATGTCAATGTACCATAATTTCTCAATCCATTTGTTTGTGGTTGGACATTTGGGCTGTTTCCACATTCATGTGATGGTGAATAATGCTGCTATGAACACTGGTGTACAAACCTCCATTTGTGCCTCAGTTTTCATTTTTCTTAGGGTATATTCCAAGTAGAAGAATAGCTGGGTTATATGGAATTTGTGTGTTCAGCTTTTTGAGGAAGCGCTCGTCAAGACAGTGAAAAGTATACATGCAAAACAAAGAGCCAACATCATTCTCAAAGACTAAAAACATTTTCCTTGCAAACAGGGACCAGAAAAGGATGCCCACTGTCATCACTTCTTTTCAATACTGTATTGAAAATGCTTGCTAGGGCAATAAGACATGAGAAGGAAATAAAAGGTACCCAGATCATCAAAGAGATGGTTAAACTGTTACTATATGTATGCAGATGACAGTGTACACACAAAACCCCAAAGACTCAACAAAAAAACTGTTAGAGTTAATAGGCCAATTTAGTAGAGTGGCAGGATATAAGATCAATATCCAAAAATCAATAGAATTCCTCTACAGTAACAAAGAGGACTCAGAGAAGGTGCTAAAACGCTTATAAGACCCCAGTTGCTACTCATCAAAGAACTCCATCCAGCAGTTTTGTGTATACATTTGTGAAGGAGAGTGGAAGAGAAGAATATTGCATTAGAATAATAAACCATATATTCTATCCCTTTATATAACAGAGAAAGGCAATGAACCTCCAATGTAGAAGAATGAACAGAATGGGGGTGACAGGATGTGCATTATGTTATTATCAAGAAGTTTCCCTGAGACAATGCACTCTGTCCTCTTTTTTTCTTAGCATTCTTGAAGTTCATTACCAACAATAACAATAACAAAAATATACTGAACAAAAATCTACAGGAAGTCATCAAGTAGATTCCAACTCATTTTAACCCCATGAGTTGCAGGAAGAATGGCAATCTGCAGGGTTCTGAAGGAGATGACCTTGTAGATGACCTTCGTAGCTCTAGGCCCTTCTTCGGAAGTGTTCTGGTTGAGTTTGAAACACCAAACTTTTGGTTAAAAGCCAAGTGCTTAATTGTGTGTGTCATTCAACGGCTTACATTAAAAGGCTTAAATTAGTCATTAACTCTGTCCTTCTCCAACTACTCCCAACATTAGAATGTCGGATCCAAGAGAACTAGTTAGGTATCTTTATTTTGTCACTGATATTTATTTGTAAGCACACTCAATAAATATTTGGCAAATAAATAAGTAATTAATACATGTAAAAAATGCTAAGCATAGTGTCTCTAACATTACTCAACTATCGGAGACAGTAATTACAGTGTTTGGTGGTGGTTCTGACGCCCCAGCCTCCCAGACAGGCTCCGGGCTCATCCTACCAAACCACAATTCCTCTGTCTTAACTCAAGACACACACTGCTCAATATTTTTTCTCTCCTACATCTCTGCATTAAACCCAAAGGAAAAAAAGATCTCTAGCAGACACTAATAGAAGCTCCTTGCAACACGTTCAATGTCTTTCAACATGATTGGTAAACATGGTTAATACCTATACTTTCTGCTACAAATAATCCTCGAAACAGAGCTTGAGTTCTGTCAACTTCTAACTTTCATCAGGTTTGGTGTGTGTCTTGCAGACTTCTATACCCACGAGCAGAAGCCAGAGACAGGATTACTTGAAAGGATGGCTGGATTTTTTCCCCCCTGTTAATCATGTGTGATACACATGTTTGAGAATTATGTCATATCTCATCACCTTACATT